TCTACGATCAACCCCTATTTTTTATTTTTTATTTAACTTTATTTTTTTTGGAAAGATTTTCATTTTTATTTTTATTTTGTCATGAATTAAAATAAAAAATCTGATGTTACTCTCAATTTTTCATCCCTCTATGATCAACCCCTATTTTTTAATTTGTTTTTTATAAACTTAAATTTTTTTGGCAAGTTTTTATTATTGTTTTATCATGACTTAAAATAAAAAAAATCATATTATTCTCAATTTTCACTCTTATACGATCAACCCCTATTTTTCCATCCCGATTTTTATTCTATGCACAGATCCGCAATAAGGTTGCAAGATGGCAATTAAATGTTATAATTGTAGTACGATAAATTCTGATTCAGAGTTTATAATTTCAAGTTCCTTTAATTATGGTTTTTTTTTTAAATTCAATTTGATCTCCCGCCCTCGCCCATAGATTATACACTTAATATATTTGAGACCCTCGCCGGTCGACTACTGATCAACTATCAATTGATCAGTTATCCCCGCCAGGTGTCACCACTCATCCAGCAAACATCACGTAGTAGGGATGTGGACGAAGCCAGTCTCCTGTTTTACTCACTTTACATTTTTCAGCCATGTTTTTTTGGTTTTATTTGTGTATCAATCGTAGCTTGCCAGCCATGTTTCTTTGGTTTGTTTGTGTATCAATAGTATGTTCAGTAGGTCTGAGAATCGGCTACTATCTATTTTTCATATCCCTAAGTGATAAGGGTTGTCCACCCTTTTTGTTTTTTTTTCGGGTAGAGGGCCGAACCTCCTACGAGGTCCCCGCGCAAAAGGGGCGCGCGGGGTATGTGAGACTCAACGATCTGCATGGTGTTGTGAGCAGACCGCGGGCCCAAGGATTTTAGGACCCACCCACTAAACGACTCCCCTGCACTCTTACACCCGACGTCCGATCCCCTCCGAGGTCAGAACCCGGATGAGGTAGGGGGGCTACCGCGGTCAACACTACAACCAGACGGCACGGCTCACCCCAAGGACGCCCAGCCGACGGAGCCTTCGAGGCGAATCGAAGGCTCTGAAACGTCGGCCGTCTCGGTACGGCAGCCCGTCGGGCCGCCCAGACGGTGCCGCTGGTGTCCCGGAATACCCCGCTGGACCAGAACCAGCCTGCCGGGTCGGGACGCGATACACCGTCGACCGGTCGCTCTATTCACTCCACGGCAGCGCGCTAGAGTGCTGGTAGCGCGCCGCGCGGCCTCACCCCCTCAGGTCGCCCCTTGACCTTCACCGGGGGGAGGCCGCCACCTACAGGGGCCGGGACGTACGGGCGTATTCCCGCCTCCGGCCCCCGGCTCGACGGCGACGGATCGGTGCGGAAAGGGAAGAGCTCTCCCTCTCTCGCTCCGCCGCCTCCTTCTGCGAGATGGTGGACTCGCAGAAGTCGAGCATCGCCTTCCAGGACGCGTCGCTGCCGAGCATCGTAGCCACGACGCGCGGCAGCGAGAGGTCCTCTCCTATGACCGCGACGAGGGCGGCGCGTTGCTCGTCAAATCCAGAGCAACGCGCCAATGTGTGTTCCGCTGTGTCTTCCTCGTCGCGGTCAGCGCAGTGGTGGCACTGCGCCGTCGGTTCCCTTCCGGCTATTTTGAAAAGGTACCGGCCAAAACAACCATGGCCGGTCAACATTTGCGTCAGCCGGAAGGTGAGGCATCCGCGGTCGCGGCCCACCCAGTCCGCGAGAACCGGGCGGACCGCCTCGACGGTACGGAGGCCGGCCGACGGGTCCGCCAAGCGGCGAGACCACGCCTCCAGCACGGACCGCCGAGATTGGAGCCTCCGCGCTCGAACTACTCCTTCGCCGGGGCGCCCTTCCCCCCTAGAGCGGAGGTCGCTACGCCACCGGTAATCGGCAGCGAGCGCCTCCGCCTCCAGGTCCCAGGGTGGCGCCCCGGCGAGCAAGCACGCCGCCTCGAAGGAGACGGTGCGGTATCCTCGGATCGCCCTGACCGCGATCGCGCGCTGCGGACGTCGCAGCGCCGCGACGTTCTTGCGGGTCAGGGCGTGGCACCATACGGGAGCCCCGTATAGTGCCATCGACCGCACCACCCCCATGTAGAGGCGGCGCGCCACCTGATCGGGACCCCCGACGTTTGGAAGCAGCCGGCTCAAAGAGCCGGCCGTCGCCATCACTCGAGGGCCCAACTTCGCAAAGTGAGCGCGGAAGTTCCACCGACCATCCAGTTCAAGGCCGAGGTACCGAAGACCGGTCACCCCGACCCCGACGCGGACGCCTCCGATCACGAGGTGGGCACCCAGAGGCGGCGCTCGTCCCGGCCCGTGAAACAACAGGGCCTGGGTTTTGTCGAGCGCCAGGGTTGTCCACCCTAAACATTAATTTTTTATTTTTATATTTTGGATAATTTTTTTTTGGTTATAATATGGTATTATGTGGTTGAATGAGGTTTTTTTTCTACACTAGAATTTCCCTAGAAATCTTATTTAAGGCAACACAACGTTTGCCAGGTCAGCTAGTAATTATATAATATACAAGCGGTCCACTCCGGCTCCGCTCGGGTCTTTAACAAAAAAATTTCAACGATATTTGACGCTGTTTTTTTTTTAAATAAAAAAACAGTTATTGCGGCATAACTATAATAGTTAGACATATGGTGTCACGACACTTTTTGTAAATAATAATGTGTTCTACAAGGTCGTAGTACATTATTTTATTATATCATCAATAGTTTCCGCACGGCACGCGATGTAAAGAATATTTTAGGTAATATTTTTACACCTTGAAGTTTTAGTAAGGATCCCTAAATTTTTTCAAAAAAAGTTATAGTCTATGTAATGAGGGACCGATTGAAGGGAGAGATGTATAATCTAAAGAGAATGTATTTGTGTGGGTGTGGGTGGGTGTGTTCATACATATTTTCACCTAAATTATCTTACGTAGTTAGCTTTCTGAATCGTCTTATGACTTTTATGTTTTAATATAAAATTGCATTTTGTTGGGAGCAAAGCCGCGGGTGAAGCTAGTAATTAATAAATGACATGCGTGTTACCAAAAAATCATTAAATTCTCATGAAACACAATGATACTTACAGTTCTTTTTGCGAATCCAAAGTGAGTCCAATCATAGTACCATTCATTGCCTACTAGTAGTTTAAAGTATATTAATTGCTATTCAAATATTTTAACGAGCTCACGGATCACCTGCTGTTAAGTGGTCACTGGAGCCCATTGACATCGACAATGTAAATGCTGCAAACTCTGACACGCATTCTCTGTCTCAGGTTTTCAAATATAGTACAACGGTCGCCGCGCTCTTTAAGTCGAAACGCGTTACTGTTACCCGGCAGAAATAGACGAGATGCTGATGCCCACAAATGTGGGATCATGAGGCGCCCTGCCACCATTAAATCGCCAATTTTCAATATGTAAAGAAGAGCCTGAGCGAGGTATACTACCTTATCCTTATCCTTATCCTGTGGGACCCCCCCATCATCACAGAGCACAAGATATTTGATAGATGCCTTCAAGATAAGCTTGCGTATATACAAGCTTCGAAAAACAGCATTCGGACCGTCGGTCTACCGAGCAATATCACAAGCTCAGTGGATGATCTTCCTTTCGTAAATCCAAAAAACCATATACACAGTCCACTGAGTTTCTCGCCGGATCTTCTCAGTGGGTCGCGATTCCGATCCGGTGGTAGATTCGGCGAAGCACTGCTCTTGCTAAAACTAGTGTTAGCAGATTCTGTCAAGTTGAGCTCGAGAGCTCACCACCCGTCCGGGCGTAGCTGAAATAGCCTCTTAGGCTACCAGCGAATAGGCAAAGCCAAAAAAAACTAGTTTTTTTATTACAATACAATTTTTTATTACAGTACAATGATTTTGTTAAGAGTTGTAGTAGGTTTTTATTGGTAGGACCTCTTGTGAGTCCGCGCGGGTAGGTACCACCACCCTGCCTATTTCTACCGTGAGGCAGTAATGCGTTTCGGTTTGAAGGGTGGCGCAGCCGTTGTAACTATACTTGAGACCTTAGAACTTATATCTCAAGGTGGGTGGCGCATTTACGTTGTAGATGTCTATGGGCTCTAGTAACCACTTAACACCAGGTGGGCTGTGAGCTCGTCCACCCATCTAAGCAAAAAAAAGGTAGGTATTAATTATGGCTCGAAGGCATATCCAGTTTCACCAGGACAGGTCGGCGTACACGGAATCAGCCAGGAGGGGTAGTATTTGCTAACAGCTGCTCGAGCACCATCGAAAGAGACCTGGCAGCTCAGAGGCAGCAGCTGCGTGAGTGCATCTAATACGGGATCGGAATCAACGGGCTTATTAGTTACCGGAGTTAGGTTTCTCGTCGGATTGTTCGACAAATACGGTTGCCTGTGTAATCTATAGTGCTAGAGTCGCAGACGTGTAATTGCTGTGTCAGTGGATCGGGTGAATTCGTAAGAGTGTGTCCAGGGCGTCGACACTGAGTGGCTCCTGCGTGAGCCGATTATCACGTCGCATTGCTTCATTGAAGTAGTGTATGTATCGAGGTGGGGCTCCCTTTTTTTAACTATTCTAGTGACTGAGGGGTCACAGCAGATTCACCCGGCGAGTAGATGAGCTCACGGGACCCTAACCTGACCTTCGCTACCACTAGCCCCAGCAAGAGCAGTTCTTCGCAGAATCGGAAGCGCTACCGACTGAGAAGATCCGAAGAGAAAATCAGTGGGCTGTGTCTGATAACTATTTAATGGCAGAAATAGGCATAATGGTATTTGTGTGATACCTACACGTGCGAACTCGACTTTTTGCACTTATGAAGCCCCGATGTCGCTGCCTACCGACTTCGAATGGGTCACTTTTTATTATACCTATTTATGTATAGGAGCATACGGATTTTTGGAATTTTGAAATTTTGGAATGAAAAGGATTCCGTAATGTTGTTAAAACAAACAAAGAAACACAAGTAAACAAATTTCAAATGCTTTATTTGTTAATTCACATAAATTTTTTTTGGGGCTTATCGGCCGCTTTTCTAAATGCTTCAAACAATTTTCTTATTCTAAAATCTCTTTGTCCATTTTAACTTAATCGCCTGTGGTCATTGTCAACCGATCTAATCCTTGCAGGAAATACCTTTGAAATACTATACATTATATTTTTTAAAGCGAACACTACTTTAATTATTAGCTTGTGCACGTGAGACCGTATATTCGACATTGGCGAGCTCACATATTTCTACGCATCTTTGACTTTTTATATAAAGCCTCAGAAACAGGTTACTTTGAAAATAACCTATTCATTGAACCTTGATTAGTATTAACAGTTTGTTTTTTGTTTGGAATGGCATAATATATTGTAAATATTATGGAAGAGTTTTTGAAAAACATAATGTTTTCGGTATCGATTTGATAGATGCTATTAATAATCGAATTGTAATTGGATTTTCTTAATATATCTGCAACCACAGTAGTGTTCGCCAATTCTTCATTCTTAAATTTACTGCTGTTAAGCTCTCTTGTAGCTAGATATGAAAAGTGTATCCCGGTAATATCCATTCTGGTTCTAAATATATTTTATTTGTCTATTCATTTTGATCATCATCAACCGATGTCTTTTGGTATCTTTGCATGCTGCTAGAATGATAACTGCTCCGAGACGATGAAGCGCTCTCCGATGAGGACTGGCTAGAGCTGATTTCCTTGGTAGATTCATTGGGATCGTTATTTTCACTGTTTGATTGAAAACTTCTGAAAGATCTCTGGCTAGATTTCTTTGATTCCTGTTGATTAAATTGGTACGCGCTCTCAGAGGATCGTACAGTGTTACCATTTTCATTATCGTTCTGATTGTTTGAGAGGTTTTCGTCGTTTTCACTATATTGCGATCGCTTGAGTTCACTGTATCTTTGGAAATCTTTGGATTCGGACTGGTTGTTATTGATTATCTTTTTAGATCCGTGCGACTTTTTCTTTTTCTCCTGAGACTGAGTTCCACTATTATCAGTGCTTCTAGATTTTCCATCACTATTTCCTTTATTTTTGCAAGCAGTTCCACGTTCAGCACCTTCTGATATGTTACTATTAAAAGATTCGCCTCTATCTTCAGTTACTTTCTTACCTTTGGAGTCTGTCTCATCGTCATTATCGTTTCCGGTTTTCTTAGATCCCTCTGGTTTCCCAGGACGTTCTGGTTTTCTTGAACCTTCAGGCTTGTCCTTTTTATCTTTAATTTTATCAGTAGAGGATTCGCCTCTATCTTCAGTTACTTTCTTACCTTTGGAGTCTGTCTCATCGTCATTATCGTTTCCGGTTTTCTTAGATCCCTCTGGTTTCCCAGGACGTTCCGGTTTTCTTGAACCTTCAGGCTTGTCCTTTTTATCTTTAATTTTATCAGTAGAGGATTCGCCTCTATCTTCAGTTACTTTCTTACCTTTGGAGTCTGTCTCATCGTCATTATCGTTTCCGGTTTTCTTAGATCCCTCTGGTTTCCCAGGACGTTCCGGTTTTCTTGAACCTTCAGGCTTGTCCTTTTTATCTTTAATTTTATCAGTAGAGGATTCGCCTCTATCTTCAGTTACTTTCTTACCTTTGGAGTCTGTCTCATCGTCATTATCGTTTCCGGTTTTCTTAGATCCCTCTGGTTTCCCAGGACGTTCCGGTTTTCTTGAACCTTCAGGCTTGTCCTTTTTATCTTTAATTTTATCAGTAGAGGATTCGCCTCTATCTTCAGTTACTTTCTTACCTTTGGAGTCTGTCTCATCGTCATTATCGTTTCCGGTTTTCTTAGATCCCTCTGGTTTCCCAGGACGTTCCGGTTTTCTTGAACCTTCAGGCTTGTCCTTTTTATCTTTAATTTTATCAGTAGAGGATTCGCCTCTATCTTCAGTTACTTTCTTACCTTTGGAGTCTGTCTCATCGTCATTATCGTTTCCGGTTTTCTTAGATCCCTCTGGTTTCCCAGGACGTTCCGGTTTTCTTGAACCTTCAGGCTTGTCCTTTTTATCTTTAATTTTATCAGTAGAGGATTCGCCTCTATCTTCAGTTACTTTCTTACCTTTGGAGTCTGTCTCATCGTCATTATCGTTTCCGGTTTTCTTAGATCCCTCTGGTTTCCCAGGACGTTCCGGTTTTCTTGAACCTTCAGGCTTGTCCTTTTTATCTTTAATTTTATCAGTAGAGGATTCGCCTCTATCTTCAGTTACTTTCTTACCTTTGGAGTCTGTCTCATCGTCATTATCGTTTCCGGTTTTCTCAGATCCCTCTGGTTTCCCAGGACGTTCCGGTTTTCTTGAACCTTCAGGCTTGTCCTTTTTATCCTTAATTTTATCAGTACAGGATTCGCCTCTATCTTCAGTTACTTTCTTACCTTTGGAGTCTGTCTCATCGTCATTATCGTTTCCAGTTTTCTTAGATCCCTCTGGTTTCCCAGGACGTTCCGGTTTTCTTGAACCTTCAGGCTTGTCCTTTTTATCTTTAATTTTATCAGTAGAGGATTCGCCTCTATCTTCAGTTACTTTCTTACCTTTGGAGTCTGTCTCATCGTCATTATCGTTTCCGGTTTTCTTAGATTTCTCTGGTTTCCCAGGACGTTCTGGTTTTTTTGAACCTTCAGGCTTGGCCTTTTTATCTTTAATTTTATCAGTAGAGGATTCCCCTCTATCTTCAGTCACTTTCTTACCTTTGGAGTCTGTGTCATCGTCATTATCGTTTCCGGTTTTCTTAGATCCCTCTGGTTTCCCAGGACGTTCTGGTTTTCTTGAACCTTCAGGTTTGCCGTTTTTATGTTCTTTACTCTCATTAGTAGAGGGTTCGCCTCCTTTCCCTCCGTTAGAGGATGGGTCATCGTCGTTTTCGTTTTTCTTAGGTTCATTTGGTTTCGCAGGTTTGTAGTCTTTATCCTTAGTTTCCTGCTCATCGCCTTCATTATTAACGTCATCATCAGTATTATATTCTTTTTCGAAATCAGTATCCTTGGATTTGTTCAAAGTCTCGTTGAGAGTGTGCCTATTGCAGACAGTTATTCGTTGTTTGATCTCTTTGATTTTCTGTATGAAACCTGTAAGAACGTATTATGAATTTTAATTCTTGCAATCTAAGAACAGACACTGCCTTTTGTACGTTGGCGCGTTTTACTTTAAGATTAGTGTCTTTGCCAATTTCATCTCGCTTCCGCTAAGCGACTAATGTCAATTTTGTACTCTAGGATCGGTTCGCCTTAGTTAAAAAATGAAGTCTACCTACTTCACCTATGAAGTCATACTTTTCAATGCTGGCCATTTGAAACGTAAGTTACGTATGGCTGGCATTAAAATGTAATTTATTTAATTAGTTTTCTGTTTTCACTACGTCTTTATCCTTTCCATCGGTATGGATACGATAAAAATACGAGTTATTATGTAATACGAGCGCTGTCGCGATACCAATGTTATGCTAAAGCGAATTGAGCTGCATTGAGTACTGCTCCGAATTCTGAGGCTAATCTTTGCTAAGCTACCCAAATTACAGCTTGTCCCATTCGACTCCAAACAGAATAGGATCGTCGAATTATCAACGACGTTCTCACGAATCGTTTGGAACTTATAGGTCTACAGAAGATAATAAAATGTTCTATAGGGGATGCTCCGAGGAATTACTTGAAATGATTACCTCGCCACCATCACCCCTGCTACCTAAAATCAGGGTGTGCGTCCGCGATTTGCTTCCAGAGGTATTTTTGCTACATACCCTCCGGCTTCCGACTATACTTCCCCCTCCCACAATATTATCCGGAGGCTATAACGTGTGCTCCTTCAAACGAGACCCGAGAAGAGCCGACCGGCAACTGCTCGCCTGTAACTCTGGTCTTAATGACGTCCATGGTGACAGCCCACCAGCATTAGATCTTTATTCGCATCTAACTAACGAAACAATTAAAAAGTAACTTACCTAATTCGTATTTAGTGTCCACGTCTTCTAAGTATTCAGCAAATCCTATTAAAAAAAATTGGTTGTCTGTAAAGTCGGTTTACAGCCGATAGCTTTACGTGATAACGTCAGTAGCAGAACTATTCGAACTGCTAGTTCTGCCGTCACGCGAGAAGAGAGAAAAATGTGTCACAGGCCAACGCTTGGGCCAATCGTGCCTCTCTATTGCTTGTTCCGCGCTCTCGCTTGCACGCTCAGTCTCAGGCGGAACGTGACACTTTTTCGTGCGTGCAGCCGTTGTTCATTGATTTATAAGAGGTTATCACGTAAAAAGCTTTATTTTTATAATACATAGAATACCTTGTTATTAAAAATAGCAAAATAAGCAATTTTAGCTATGACAAAGAGAAAATCTATAGATACGAAAAAGGTAATGATAAAACTGTTTAAAAAAATTCCTCCAGGCTTCGTTCACGCAGACTCGCGGGATCGATCATGAAATGTCAAACAATGACATATCTTTTACGTGTCACGTAAGGAAGACGGGCACAAGCAGCACATACGCTGACGTCAGGCGATACCTTCGCCGTTCGAAGCCGTCCGTGTGTGTGCAGCTCATGAGTCCTAGTATTCACTGTGCACGGATCTCGTTCACGAATCTATTCGAATCGTTCACCGCTCGTTCCTCATCAATTATCAATTCGTATCCGTTTGAACGATTCGAATTAATCGCTAGAGGTGAGCATCCATAAAACGACTGAAGCATCGTCCCAAGAATTATTCTTTTTTTCCTACCTATGCTGATAGCCTTGAAAGGATAGTACAGGATCTCCTTGATGTGTAGGTGAGCTCACGGGGCTCAAACCCTCAGGTGTGTTGCTAACACTGTCCCTAGCAAGAGCAGTGCTACGCAGAATCTACCACCGGATCGGAAACGCGACACTGAGTAGATCCGGCGAGACACTCAGTGGGCTGTGTCTATGGCCTCTATGGGTTAATTTACTCGTCGAGCCCTTCGTCGCAAGCGACGGCTTCGGCGAGGACGGTAATCGGTAAATTCGTGAACAAGGTGCAAAACAAATTTGTTGCTCACGCAAGCACAAATTGGTTCAGAGCGAAAAGTAAACGCTCTTTTTCGATTGGGATATTTTGACTATAGTAAAAGTTTGTTTGAAAAAGGTTTCATTATTAGATAAAAGACTCACCGTCAACAATATATCCTCCGACTAAAAATAGAAACGAGAAGTGTATTAATAAAAAAGAATAGCTTAAAAAAACTAACAAAATACGCTTTTATAGAAAATCCAACTAAAAAAATAGAAAATAAATTTTAATAAATTTGTATTAAAAATAGTGTAAGAAAAAAATATTTTATTGTAAAAAAGCGTGTTTTTTTTTAATATCGAGTTACCATCGGTCCTTAATAAGTATACCAAATTGCGAGTTAATCCGACGTTTTGAAGGGGGTCAAAATCATGTTCAAAGATTCCGTTTTAAACATACATACTAACATACATACGTCTGAAGCTGATAAAAGCGTATTAAAAATAATATTGAATTATACTATGTGAATGTGCGAATGAATATATATGTGAATTTATATGTGAATAGGATCTGATGGTCTGTGAACTGATTACGGCGGACCTTGGGAGGTCTACCCACGCTGCGTCTCAGTTAACCCTTAGACCTTTAAGCTTTGCCGTCTAGGTCACCAGTGCCCTACGCGGCACACTGATCTAATTATGTAGACTTCTGTTATTAAGCGGCCGGATTGCCTAACTTTTGTTTTTAATGTATGCTTTAGTCTTTAGTCTTAGAAATAGTTTGATTCTGGTTCGTATCTTCGCATTCGTCTTTCCCAGTGTCTGCTAGATAATCCGGCGCCTTAGTAACAGAAAGGCAACTAGAAGGTGAGCTCACGGGGCTCAAACCGGAGTGATGCTAAAACACTGACCCTAGCAAGAGCCGTGCTTCGCAAAATCTACCACCGGATCGGAAACGCGATCCACTGAGAAGATCCGGCGAGAAACTCAGTGGGCTGTGTCTGAGGGTTAATTTACGATGACATAATTCATTGAATGCACCGCATCCCTGGGCACCGGTAAGTGACATGGGTGTCAAATGGTTAGCATTGGTCACTCGAGAAACTTTATATCCAGATGAATTCTTTTTACCATAAAATACAATATATTGCAGTGAGGACGAAAATAAAATTTAAAACAAATATCTTTGTCTAAAACAGAACACGCAAAGTTGTCACCACCTTAATTATAATTAAAGTTTTGACTGAGCTATAAACATTTGTAGTGATCATCGCGAGATGCGAACATTTGTAACTAAGTGACTACAGAAATAGGTCTGTAGAACGCGAACCTTCCATAAAATAGAGGTGTATGAAAATAAATAAATAAGTATGCTTTTTAGTTGTGTTCATGGCGAGATGTGAACATTTGTATTTCAGGGATTGTTTTACTGAGAAAATGTGTCGATACCACCTGTGTGCTTAGTTCGAGTTTTTAACGTACTCGATAGCGTAAAAGTCAACTCAATTTTGTATGGAGTTTGGAACGTTTGCCTGCGTTTGCCGCAAGGGGCGCTGTTCCAACTCCATACAAATTTGAGTTAACTTTTACGCTAACGAGAACGTTACAAACTCGCACTAAGCAGTGGACCACGGGTCTTAAAATTAAGAGTGACTTATTCTTATATACCATGGAGTCCATGTGTGATTGGTTGGATTGAAGACTGGATTTACTTTTTCTTATTTCTAGTTGAATGTATTGTCACTTACGATGATATTATAAATTTGAAAGTTTCTTTGTATGTTTAATTGTTTGTTCTTATTTCACGGGAAAACGAAGTATCGACATCATTATTGCTTAAAAGTCATTAAAAACACATAGATACTCACATTTCGGATGATAACTGTTTCCAAGAGCGCCCATGATCGTGAACACTAAACAGGGAAAATGTTTTCAATAATATGCATTTTAGTTATGTGGTTACGGAAAAGCCCATGGCCAACAACAACGTAAATACTGCGACAGAAGTCTCAGGTCTATTATAGTACAATGGCTGCCCCACTTATCAGTCAGGAACTCATTACTGCTTCACGGCATAAATAGGCGAGATAATTGTACCTACATTACAATAGCCCTAGAAAGAGCAGTGCTTGGCTCAATCTACCGATCGGCACGGGATCGACATCGCCACCCACTAAGAAGATCCGGTGAGAAACTCAGCGGCTTTCCTCCATCGTGGAAATCATTCGTGAGTATTTTATAAGTACGTATTTCATTAGAGCCGTCGGTCCTTACCTGCCGGATTCGAAAACTGGCCCAGCCGTATCGCTCGCTACGATTACATCGGACGTCTTATCCATTAAGCCGCCCCGATTTTGAAATTTACGACCACAAAATAAAGGTACTTCTTCAGTAAGTATTAAAGAAAAGAAGCTTACGTTTCACGAATATCACTTGCAGGAAGTTCTTATCCCATTTCGACGGTTCTCCTGCGAAATAAAGATAGGTTTTCGTGTTAGATTCACGTATTAGCTCACGGCCTAGTGTCATTTAGTTAACGGAATCAATGGCAATCGCACTTTGAGTTACGATGTGGAAGTGTTAAATATATTAAATACTA